TAGCCTGTGGGCTCTGGTTTGCTGCGGACATCACAGTTCAGGGTGGCCTCGCTGCGGCCGAGGTACCAGTTGTCATCATAGCCGGAAATGGAGACCTCAGGGGGGTCTGAGGGAAACAGACGCACGGGCTCAGAGACGGGGACTCTTCAGAGCAGCCTAGGGACATGTGGGATCGTGTCATAACGAGGAAAGGCCTCAGTGGGTTTCAGGCACAGCTCAAGATAGAGAGGCCTGTCAGGAGCCTGGGGCAATGGATTCCCTCAGGGAATAAAAGGCCGGAAGTCCTCGGGGAGCCAACGGGGGTGCTGAGAAGGCTTTTCGGGACCTGCTGCTCTCTACTCGTTTTCCCGGACAAGCCGGGTCCTTGTGTGCCTCGGGTGTCCTGTGAGAAAAGGCCTCCTAGACACTCATAACACACAGGAGCATATTCAAGGCTCTGACAAGTCCTGCTGGAAAGGATCCTGGATGACCCTTCTTCAGCTGCTGTTTTTCCATCCTAAATGTGATGGACCAGGAAGACGTTTCAAAGTCCCCAGGGGGAAGGCCAGCGAGACAGTGTTTTTTTGTGTGGGGCGGAGCCCGTGTTGATCCCCTCCTCCCTCGGACCCAGTGGCCATGTTGAGGGTGCCCCGTGTAGACAGTGCCCGAGGGAATCAGTGTGGCAACTTCTTGGAGGGAGTATTCAGTATAGACAGTGAAGGGAGGACACAGCCCCTTAGATGAGCCAGTGTAGACACCATCGGGGGCCAGTGTGAGAGAGTACCCAGGAGAACCAGCATAGAAAATGTAAGGTCGGGGCGCCTGGGTGGCTCAGTCGGTTAAGCGTCTGACTTCGGCTCAGGTCATGATCTCACAGTCTGTGAGTTCGAGCCCCGCGTCGGGCTCTGGGCTGATGGCTCAGAGCCTGGAGCCTGCTTCTGATTCTGTGTCTCCCTCTCTCTCTGCCCCTCCCCCGTTCATGCTCTGTCTCTCTCTGTCTCAAAAATAAATAAAAACGTTAAAAAAAAAATTAAAAAAAAAAAAAGAAAATGTAAGGTCAAAATGTCAATGTAGACAGACGTCACAGGAGCTAGGCTAGACAACCCGGGAAACAGTGACAGCTTCCCAGAGCTGGTGGCCAAGTGACGGGTGTAGACAATGGGGACAGTTGGGTCTGCAGCCCGCATGTCCGGCAGAGATGATGGCGAAACAGTGTAGAAAGCGGACAAGGGGGTTGGCGTAGACAACGCGGGAAACCCTGTAGCAATAGGCAAGGTCAGTGTAGACAGTCGGCTCGGGAAGCGGGTGGAGGCGGCGTGTGTAGACTGTGCTCAAGGGAGCCGGGAGAGACAGAGGCCTTCGCGTGGCGGTCCCTGCCTTTGCTCACATTTGGGTACACTCACAAGGCACGGCGAGAGTCACAGACAGCAGGACGGCCTCCTTGAAGCTCTCATGCTCCACTTTGCAGGTGACGTTCTGGCCATCTGCCTGGCTGGAGGGTGTTAAGGTTAAGAGGCTGATGACGTCGAACGTGCCAGGCAGGTGTCCTGGCACCAGGCTGTCATTGGCCTTCCCGTCCGGGTATGACCAGGAGATCCGGGAGGGCGGGCGGCCCCCACGGGAGACGCAGCGGGCCACGGGCACAGGCTCCAGGCTGAGCGGGCCGGGCGGGACCTCCTCCGTCTTAGCCGCGTTCTCCGGCTGGGCTGTGGAGGGAAGCAAAAGGGACCAGTCAGTCCTCGCCTGCGGTCGTTCAACAGACATCTCAGCAGCAGAGGGGGGGAAGCTAGCTGAGGGCCAGGTTCAAATCCCAACTCTGTCCCCGAGCCACTGGGTGGCTTTGGGCACGTCTGTGCCTCAGTTTCCTTGCCTGTCAACGGGAGATAATGATAGGCTCACAGGCAATGAGATTATGCAGGGAAGGCTCCTAAAATGGTAGTGGGCACATAATAACTGCTTGATAAACAATATTATAATTGGGACATGAATACCTTGCCTGGCAATATGACGGGCAGTGTTGGGGACCCAGGCGTGACTGGGACAGCCCCAGCCCTGCCTTCATGGGCTATACAGTCCAGGGGGAAGACAGAATTCCCCACGTAGTGGCAACCCAGAGTGGGCCAGGCTGGGATGGGGGAGCCCAGAAGGAGTGCCCCAGTCTGGGGTAGCAGTGAAGGAGGGTTTCATGGAGGAGGAGAGGGCTGCTAGCGTCCTGGAGGTCGAGAAGGGAAGTGATGGGCTCAAGGTTATACAGTTGTAATGGACAGAGCTAGACTTTCACACAGTTCTGACTCCAAACCCACCTTGACCATCTCTCTCTCTCTCCTTTATTTATTTATAATTTTTTAAACATTTATTTATTTATTTATTTTTATTAAAAAAAATTTTTTTTTA